CCTTGCCCGCCGCGGCAACCAGCAAAACCCACTCCTCGTCCGCACACTCTGGGACCGATAATAAATTACCGGGACGCACTCCGAAGTGCACGGACCTCGCTACTCGACCCCGACCTCAGAATACTTCTGAGCGGCTCGAGCAGCCACCAGGCTAGGCCGGAAACCGCGAGCTATGCTCCCAGAATCCGCCCCAGCCTCCCCCCACCGTCCGACCCTGCCTCGGATTACCTCCGAGCGGCTCGGAACGGCCCGGCCCGACGAGCCCGGTTGAATTCCGGGACATCGACGGCCCGTCGCTCCCCTTCACGCTCGCGTACACCGGGACCACGTCCCTGTGCCGTTTGAGCGGAGAGGGAGAGCCCCCCCTGTTGTGGGACACCGCTTCCTCCCATGCCAGGCCGCATCCTGTCTACCCCCTTGATCGGAGGAGGAAGGATCGGCCCCAGACACAAGAGGACCGGCACCCACATCCCATCCCTTTAGACAGGGCCACCAAAGTGACCCCACCAGAGACCCGTCCCGCCGGAGCAGCAGCCCCGACCAAGACAGGCCTCAACCGTGGGGGGAGCACCTCCCTGACCAGCCGCCCCACTGGGCTTCGAGCCTGGCCGCCCGTGCACGGAGGGGAGATAAAAATCTCCCCCTAACGGTGCCGTGCCACCGGGGGTTTGAAGTCGGAGTCCCCGTCTCCTACCGGCGGATGGGAAAAGTCCCTTGAGGAGCCGCCGGACTCCCTGTTCCCCCCAGCGGAGGAACTGTGCGCTCTTAGCACCGCGGAAACACCTTTTCAGGTATTCCCCCGGTGAGCCCTCTCACCACGACAAGGTGGCGCACAACGAGAGGGTATAAGTGGTGTGCCCGAAGGCCCATCACGAAGGTTTATCGACAACCTACAACACTGAAACGGCGACCCAAAGGTCGCCCCATCACAAGGGGGTAATTTCAATTATGGGCACCACCCTTTAGGAATCCCAGGTTTATTCAAGGAGTATCCTTCTCCTGGACGTTTATTTAACCCTTCTCCGGGTCGTTACTCCGAGTCGTCGGGCGCCATTGGCTTGGTAGCTACCTTCGCTACATGTACCGGGTCGTCCATTCCCAGAAGCAACTTGTTAGGGGAGCCGCCCTCACCTCCCAGACGATCTTTGTTAAGCCTGGATCCCGGCCAGCTGGTTTTTCCCATTTTTGAGGTTTTTCATCAGGAGGTATCCTCAAACCCCCGGTTGATTAACGAGGCGATCCTACCTCGGGGCGATCTTTGTTAAGCCTGGGTCCCGGCCAGCTGGGTATTTCCATTGAGACTTTTCATCAGGAGGTGTTCTCATACCCCCGGTTGTTTAACGAGGCTATCCATCCTCGGGGCGATCTTTGTTTAGCCTGGGTCCCGGCCAGCTGGGTATTTCCATTGAGACTTTTCATCAGGAGGTGTTCTCATACCCCCGGTTGTTTAACGAGGTTTTCCTTTCTCAGGACGATCTTTGTTTAGCCTGGATCCCGGCCAGCTGGTTATTTCCATTTGAGATTTTTCATCAGGGGGTATTCTCAAACCCCCGGTTGATTAACGAGGTTTTCCTTCCTCGGGACGATCTTTGTTTAGCCTGGATCCCGGCCAGCTGGCTATTTCTATTTGAGACTTTTCATCAGGAGGTATTCTCAAACCCCCGGTTTTTTAACGAGGTTTTCCTTCCTCGGGGCGATCTTTGTTTAGCCTGGATCCCGGCCAGCTGGTTATTTCCATTTGAGACTTTTCATCAGGAGGTATCTCAAACCCCCGGTTGTTTAACGAGGTTTTTCCTTCCTCGGCTTTTTAGGGCATGCAGGCTGGCGGAGGAGAAAGGGGAGAGGATAAGAAGGAAGGTGGAAAAGGAAAGGAAAGGAGACAGTCTACAGAGACCCATTTTGAGGTTTTCCCCCTCAGTTTTTTTCCAGAGTTGTACTTCTCTGGCCAAATTTTAGGTCATAAGGTGAAGTGCAAGCCTCAGAGCCTTTTTTGGGTATGGCGCCCCAAGTTTTTTTTAACGAAGTTAAACTTCTTTGGGTGTGCTCTTAGATCCCGCATCTCCACGAATGGATAGCGGGGAGCCCTGGCACCACGTCAAAGTGGCACACCGTCGCCAAGGGAACGTTACCTGACCTACTATTTGTTTCTATGAGACTATCGCACCTTTCCAATATTACGCGGACTGTACGAAAACTTTTTATCGCGAGCGCTATCCTGTCACATTTTTCTATTTCGATGCGGACAGTACGAAGACTGCAAACCTGGGACTGTATCCCGCCGCGTCCAACGCGGATTCGCTCGGGCAAAACACGGTGAGGCGCTCTCGAAGAAGCGGAGGCCACCACGAGCGATCGCGCACGGAACTCAGCGGCGAGAACTCCCACCACTTCCCTAACAGCCGCCCTGTCTAGCCGGAAGCGGCTGGCCAAACGCGGGCACTCCTCACCAAATTTAGAATTTTAGAACTATTCATTTTTTTCCCACGAGTGTGGTGGAAAGGATGTCCAGCGCCGTAGAGCCACCTATACGACACTAAGCCTATCTATACCGAGGGGTCGGCAGGTACCCCGGAGCGGACCGTTAGCGACTGCGTTAACGCCTAACCAAAACACTCCCGCAGCCATTCAGACCCTGAGCACGGCACCAACACCTTGGTCTTAGAGTAAAAAATCCCAACTAACACAAAACGGGGGAGCCCGCCGGTCGGACACCCCCAACCCCCGACCTGAAAAAAAAAAAAAAAAAAAAAAACCAACCGGTTCCGTCGCCGCCGCACCAGGCCGAAGTCTAGCCCGACAACGCAGGGCCCGGTAGACTCTACTCTGCGGCCCCTGCCCCTCCCCGCGCATCC